TTTCATTTTGCAGCCTTTTTTTTTTTTTTTTTTTTGCGGAACCGGAGATTGAACTCAGGTCCTTGAGCTTGTCAGGGAAGCGCTTATTCCACTGAGCCATCTTCCCCACCCTCAAGTGGACTAAAAAGGCAACCTACTGGGAGAAAATGTTTGCAAATCGAGTATTTGATAACAAGTTAAAATGGAAAATATAAAGAATTCTACAAATGAACCACACCAAAAAATTCCAATTAAAAAAATCTTGTATTTAAAAAAAAATCTTCAAAGATAACAATATGCATTGTAATAACTATTGTTATTGTCTTATTTTGTTGCAGAATTTTGTTTTACTCTTCTTCCATTAAAAAATAGGCAAAAGGCTTGAATAGATATTTTTCTAAAGATTTAAAAATGCTGTAAGCAAATGAAAATAAGCTCATCATTTCTGATTTGAGAATTCCAAATAAAAATTACAATAAAATATCACATCAGATAAAAAGAATTGGATCTTTTCAAAAACCCAAAACTTGGAAAAAGTACCAAGCTTTGTGAAAGATGTGAGAAGTTGGAATCTTCTCCCATTGGTGGTGGCTTCCAAAGGTGCAGCCACATGTGAAAGATAGTTAGTGGCTCCTCAGAAAATTAAGCATGGAATTTCTGCTTCACCCACCAGTGCCACCTCTGGGTATAGATTGAAGATAATTGAAATAAGCACTCAAACAGATATCTGTATGTTTGTTCATAGCAGCCTTGTCTGTAAAAGCAAAAATGTGGAAGGAATTTTAATATTTCTTGATAGATGAGTTGAAAAAACTAACTGTGATACCTACATTCAATAGAAAATCATTTAATTTTAAAAGAACAGAAATTTCTTTCCATATGCTACATGGATGAACCTTGAAGACAGATAAGAGCACTAATCACACACACAAATACAAGTATTGTGTGACTTTACTTAAATGAGGTTGTCAGAGAAAAAAAAGGTTGCCGTGGGCTGGAGGAGGAGGAATAGGAGTTACTGCTTAATGAAGACAGAGTTTCAATTTGGGCGCCTTTTTCCTTCCGCTGGGTGCCCAGAGTTTCAATTTGGGAAGGTAATGAAGTCTTAAAATGGATCCTTTTAGAGCTAGCAAGATAGCTGAGCAGACTAAGCACCTGCCTAGGCAAGTGCAGGGACCAGGGTTTGATCCCTGGTACTGCATGCAGTGCTGGCCCTGTCCACAGGTGCACTGAGGTGTTGACTGAGTCTGGGCGCTGTGGCGAATGCCTGTAATCCCAGTGCTGGGGAGGCTGAAAACAGGAGGATCACTAGGAGTCCAAGCTGTGTAGTAAGAGCCTGTATCAAATACATAAATTTAAAAAGATGGATCCTATTGATGAACCTACAATAGTGTGACTGTACCTAATGCCATTCAACTGTACCCCTAAAGCAGCTAAAATCATAATGTTGTTACATATATTTTAGTGCCATAAAAGTTGATTATAATGTAATATGACCCTTATGCATATTTTGGTTCACAATCTTAGTGATTTCTTAAATTCTTTCATAGTATAAACCCCTCAGTTTTTGAAGTTTAAGTCCTTTGTGTTCAGCTAAGATGTCACTGGGGAGGTAGAGACACAATTTTAATAAAAGAAGGTATGTACACAGATTATTGGTTTGGCTTCAGGAGCTACTTTTAGAAGTTTTTCTTTAAACACTATTCATGTGGATGATATCTGGCACATGGGTACTACTCTTTGTTACAGAAGCACGTATGTTAGAGAAATCAAGTGATACAAACCTCCTCTTCTAGTGAACAGGTTTCTCTATCCTCTTTGAAAATCAATTTTCAATAAAATATTTTCCTCACAATAATGAGCCTGCGGGGCTGGAGAGATGGCTCAGTGGTCTAAAGCACCTACTTGAAACAAGCTTGGCAAAGCACAAGGACCACGGTTCAATCCTCCAGCACCACATGCCAGCCAGCCCCGCCCCCTGGTGGGCTGAGCTGGCCACACACACACACACAATAAATGTAATAAATAAAAATAAATAAATATTTATAAAAAAAAAACAATAATGAGCCTGCAGTTTTAGTATAAAAAGTAAAATTACTTTTCCTGTGGCTGACTGCTCTCTCTGTGGAGAATACCTTGTGGAACTTCAACAAAGGCATCTGAAATGCCTTCATTAAGCCATGTTTCAAAGTTTTGTAGTGGCAGACACAAAATAAAAAGATGTATCTCATATGATTTAAGAAGCTTGGAATTTAAAAAATAAAAAAGACACCTTGGTAATTTGCTTTTATTTAAACCAGAAGTTAATCAAGTATCATAGCACACACATGTAATCTCAGCTACAAGGAGGGAACCTGAGGCTGGAGGATGAGTTCAAGGCCAGTGTGGACAACATAGTTGAGACTCTCATCTCCAGAAATACAAAAAATAAAAAAATAAAAATGATAAAGATTCCCAAAAGATAGTTAAAGATATGATTGAATTATTTGAGGAGAAAGAGGTTGTTTTCGTTTGAGGTGTATATAGGATTGGAGAAGTCTTCTGGTAGCTGGGGAGATAGCTCAGCAGCATAATAAGTTCCTGCCTGGCAAGTGCAAGGTTCTGAATTTCATCCCTAGTACCAAAAAAAAAAAAAAAAAAAAAGAAAGTTCAAGTTGTCCTGAACAAGCCTGGCGTGGTGGCACACACAATAATCCCAGCACTTGGGAAGCTGAGACAGGAGGATTGCTGTGAGTTTCAGACCAACTTAGGCTATAAAGTGAGCTCAAGGGCAGCCTGAACTGTATAGCAAGGCCGGTCTGAAAAATACATACATATGTACATACATACATACATACATACATAAAATAACAGAGAAGTCCTCTTGGAGAAAAAAGTCATTCTGTTGCTTTTTTGGTCAGGTACCAGAAATAGTGTGAAGAGAAGCTCAAAAAGGAAGGTCTGTGGTGTGCAAAGGAAGAAAGAGAACACTCACTTGGATGGTAGAGCTAGGTATACGGAGCGTCTTGGAAGGCAAGTTTAGAGAGAAGATGGGTGTCAGCTGGGTGTTAAAGGCTTGCACATAATCAGGAGTGTGGACTTTTCAGGTCCTAATTTCGTGTGTGTGTGTGTGTGTGTGTGTGTGTGTGTGTGTGTGTGTGTGTGTGTAAGCGCTCTAGATAATTAGCTACAATAAAAGAGTACATAGAGAATTGAATGAATAAAAACTTTTGTAAAGAAGCATTTGTGTGCTTTATCACTGCAACAGGATCTGATTCAGGTATTAAAAGAAAACTTAATAAAGTAAATAAAAGTTTCCCTTAATAAAAATTAATTTTGATTCTGAAAGACCCTTTAGGTATTTGACCCTTTTCTATCCATTACTTTTATATTGTTGAGAGCATGCAGTAGTGTACAATTTTATATTCTGCTTTTACCCACTATACTTTGTAATATGACATTTAATCTTATTTAAGTACAATTCTGCAAAGTTCTGTAATACAGCCCTTTCATCATGATCTTTTAGATAGTGGTAAACTGGGGACATTCTAAATCCTGGATGAAATCAGTCATCCTTTAAGCAGACGCAGATTGCTAGGATAGGAGCCTTACCTGAATCACTTCTTGGGAGAGGATTGCTCCGCAGGCTGGCTCTGGAAATGTCACTTTTTTTTCTCCTTTGTCTGACCTTGATGAGGACTTCAGGCTCCAGAATTGTTTCCTGGGAGGACTAACAAGCCTGTGTTCACTGCTTTATGATTGGGTGCAACCACCAGTTCTGAATGAAACTTTGTCCTGTGCATTCTCTGCTATGGTTTTGTCAGCTTCCTCAAGGGTTTTGGTCTACTTTCTGGGGAAGAAGTCGTATTGCAGTGGAACCTGCCAACTTTTAATTGACTATTGTTTCTTTGTCAGATCACAATCTGAAGAACATTGTCAGCACTCAGTCAAATGAAGGTAGACCATTTGTAGCTAGTGCAAAACTCAAGGAGTCTTTAAAATTCATTGACAGGTTTCTATGCATAAATAAATCTTTTTCTTCCTTCTCTACCCTATCTGGTTGATATAAACTACAAGAAGGTCATATGGAAAAGACATCATAAAATTCATAATTTTATTTAATTTTGTTTCTTCAGTTATTCTAGATTGCTAACTTGCCAGTATGACCAAATTTAGGGTACAGCCTACTTCCTTCTCAGCTACCATTGTAATTATATGCCACCTGCTTGCTTAGATATTGAGATATATACTCAAATTAATAACTTCTTTTTTTAAAAAAGGCAACAAACCTTTTATTATATAGCCAGCTGAACAAAGGATAAGAAAGTGATGCAGCTACTATAAAAGCAAATGAAAATCTTGAGTTGCATTAAAAGAATCTCATAGTGCAGGAAAAGGAGCAGATCATTACAGAAAGTCTCTGGACAGATGTAGGTCTTGTTTTTCTGTTTTTTGTTTTTATACTATAAACACTACAAAGACAACAATATATAAGTATTAATTATTGAAACTGTCCTGCTAATCGGTTTTGAAACTGTTTCATTGCTATTTGTTTTTCAATAAAATTAATTAAAAATAACTTCTAATTAGAACGTTTTTAAGGTAAATAACTGGAATTCCAGAATAAAGTAGAGCAAAAATGATACCTAGGTTCTAAATCAAGGGATTGATGTGCTTATGAAAACATGTTTAACTTAAGTGTTCATAAGAATGACACTAATGCCTACAGCAACGTGTGAGAGGAACTCCAGGTAAGCACAGTGGGATCCAGAAATAGGATAGTCTACATATGATGAAGGTAGCTTTCTAACACCGAGGCATAGAAAGCTTTACTTAAGATAGAGCATTGACTGGGGTCACAGGAGAGCAAGTGGAACACCCTATAAATTAACTATACTCCAAAATACATTCATGAGCCACCTAACATTTCAGTCAGTAACAGCCTGTGTCACAATGATCTCCTAAGATTATATTGCCTGGTAAAGTTGTAGCCATCTTATTTTGTGTAAGCATTTTCTGCAATATTTTCATAATGATAAAATTGCCTAACACATTTCTCAGAATGCATGGCTACTAAAATTAAGTCTAAGTTAATTAAAAAGTTATGGGGAAATTGGATTAAATAAATGTAAAAGAGAATGTTGTCAAACAGATTAAAAATGCATTCAAATAATATGGAACATACCAAAACACTGATAGGTAAGGGTAATAAGAGAGTTTTGCTATAGAGACTAAACAATTACATGGAAAAGTGATCATCATTAAGATATACTACTTCTAAGGACTGTTAGGGTTCATTGAGCAATGATATCCATTATTTGACAATATATATTTTCCGTGATCATTCTGAAATTGGTTGAACTTTATGGAGGATGGATGGCTGGAAGCCACATACAGGCAGTTATTCATTGAAAAATTGCAACGGTAGTGACCAAAACCTGTGCACACACAACATTAGTTGACTGATACTGCTATAACTAATAACCTGTATTTCTACTAGTAGTTAGCATTCATGCATGAGATGTGTCAGGTATCACGTTAAGTTCTTTACATGCATTTTCTCATTTGAAATTTAACACAATTTGAAGATACAGTTTTTATCATTGTTCTAGTTTTTCATGTGAGAAAACTAAAGTCAATATCAATAGAGGCCAAAATTTCATGTAAAGTGCAAGAGCTCAGAAGTGCCCTGGGATCTGAATTAAGCGCTGACTTGGTCTAGCTGCCAGACACTTAGCTCAGCAGCCTGTAGAGTAATCATACATCCATTTAATCACAGTTGAGATGACTGTATCCAATTATAAGGAACTATTTTTAGAGTTCATTGAAAATAGTAGAAAATTAAAATTACTTTGTACACCATAATTTCATTTAAGTATGGATTTGAAAGGTAACATGCAAAAATAAAAGTTGTTGTACTCAGGTAAGAGTTATAGATGACAGCTGTTATTGTCTTTTTCTTTAATGTATTTGGTACAGGGTCTCACTACACATCTTGGACTCGCCTAAGCAGGGTGCTTAGTTTGCCAAGCTATCTGGCTGGCCCTGTTATTGTCATTCATACAAAGTGGAAGGTATTTACTAAATACCTCTTACTAAGATGCATTTTATGTAGAGCAGTCCGTTTTTATTACAGAATCCTTCCTTCTTTAGAGTTTAATCTTGTCCTCCGAGGAAAGAAGAATTCTTCCTAGGGTTGTAGAAAGTGGGAGACTCTGTTAATCTTGGAATTCCTTTCTCTGTCTGGCCCTTCTTCCAGGTGGCACTTGTGTTCCCCAACAATGACCCTGCTGCTTTTATGGTTGCTTTCTACGGCTGCCTGCTAGCTGAGGTGGTCCCTGTACCCATCGAAGTGCCACTCACGAGAAAGGTAAAACGTTTGACATTCATTCATTGTTTGAGATAAGGAACTCTTGAATGTTGAATATTGAATGTTTCAGTGGCAATTGAATGTTCTGTTGGGTAGGAATATAAAGGTGAAGCTGAGTGTGGTGGTACCTACCTGCAATCCCAGCACTCTGGGAGACTGAAGGAGGAGAATTGCAGATTTAAGCCCAGCTGGGGAAACTTAGTGATTTAGCAGTACCCTGTCTCAGAATGTTGAAAAGGGCTGTGGATATAGTTCAGTGTGAAGGCTGTAGGTTCAATCTTCAGTACCATGGCAGAAACATTGTTCAGTCAAGTTTCTAAAATGACTTTTGATCTTAGCTGGATGTTAATCAAGATGTGCTGACATATCCTCACAGTTTCTGAGGCTCCAAAAAGTTTTCCATCTGTTTTCTCTATAGAGGGAATTAGTTACGCCACAGCATCACTTAACTGCCTAGTGCGCTTTTTCCCAGAGGTGTAGTGTAAGCCATACTTGTTAGCAGAATGCTATGGTAGCTATTCTTATGTTAACAGTGTTCAGTGCTGCGGGCATGATAGCACATGCTTGTAATCTCAGCACTCAGGAGGCTGAGGCAGGATTGTAGTTTGAGCTCACTTTGGATAACAGAAATTTTGTGAAAACTGTTGAAATAAATGAAAGGACTGGAATGTAGTTCATTACAGAGGCTCTATATTCAATCCCCGGTTCTATGGGAGGGGGTCATGCTACATGGTATCAGAAAACCTACAAAGTCAGAGAAATGATAATAGTGTTTTTAATCTGTTTTGTCGTGAGTGGTGGTATTGTTTTTCAGATATCTTGATGTTATTATGTCCCAGGTTTCCCTGGGATTCGTCAGGTCTTGTTCTGTAATCAGAATAACTAACCTTAATTTACTGCTACCACAGAATGCAGAGTAAAGAAACTAAGTAGAATCATATACTTCTTGCTGATCTGCAGCACTCAGCCCATGGGGTGATTTGCTCATTTTTTTGTGCAGCAGGCCTACAGTATCTGGGAGAAAGGCAAGCAGAGGGCCACATGGAGGTGCTGGATGTGGCGCTCAATGTGGCAGGGCCATTGGAGCTATAGGAGGAGAGGGAGCCACAGCCAGGGACACACCTGAGCTGAATGTACCCTTGGCCACTGCTGCCCTTATGTCATCCTGGCTTCGTTTAGTGCATCTGGAAGGCAAACTGGAATGACTCTTTCTCCTTTGAAACACAGTAATTCCATGTAGCCACTAAGAATTCCCAAAGACACTCCCATCTGTTTTTGTGACTTCACTAAAATTAAAAGGTATTGATTCACAGCTTAAGGAATGTTCTGCTGCCTTGCAGAGAGCATCATGGGCCACTCTTCAAGGCCTATCATGGGCTATCTACTCATATTTCAAACTCAGCTCTTATATGAGAAGGGAGAGAACATGAGAATCCTTTTGCAAATGGAGACAAAGAGGTTGTCGTTTTAATTTCTTACATACAAAGCCAAAGCACTTTCTTCTTGGTTTTATAAGCATGGGCAAATGTCAGGCAGGGCTGTAAGCCCTCACCCCTAGTTTCTAGGGGGGTTTGTACCACCACTCTACATGTGCAGTAGACACTTCATAAAATCCTTCTCAATCTTCCCAAGTTCTGTGATTGTCAGTGGCTGTTCTTTCAGCACTATTATTGCCTTAATTCTGAAATACATGATCCTTGTCTTCTTGTATTTCCATGGGCAGAGACCTTCTAGAAATAAAGGAGCTGCTCAAGGTTTAGAGACAGAGGCTCAAGTAATGGTAAAGGGATCGTTTGGGTGGCAGTGTGGGCTAATGTGCCCGTGGGGCTAGTTCTCAGTCAGAAGCTCAGTAATTAGGGATGTAACATTTACCATCCATACTAGTCATGTGCCCACCACTGGGACAAAATAGCAAACACCTGCATCTTAAAGTATGCACAGTTTACTTGGCTCACATTTTCAGAGGTTTCAATCCAGGATTGGCTTCTCTAGGGCAAAATGGCACAGTAGAGGCCAGTAGGGGAAAGCAGTTCACCTGTAGCAGCCAGGAGGCAGAGAGAAGGCGGGAGCCAGGGCATCCACCCTTCATGGGCTGTCCCAGTGATGCACCCCTACCAGCCCTCACCTCCTAGTAGCACATTCAGCTGTGAACCCATCAGTGGGTGAACCCACTGATGTGTACAGCACCCCATGCTTCAGTCCACTCTGGAGAGCCTCACCTCTGGACGTGTTAGACTTCTGCACACATTTTAGATTTAAACTGTAATACAGTGATTATTAGTAACAATTACAAACCTTTTCTCATTACATAGTTTAGACCGATCTATTTTTAGGGCATAGCCTAGCATATTACAAACCAGGCCAGTTCACATAGAACATCCATTTGAATGAAGCAGGTGGGGACCTTCCAATGAACATATGCGCACTGGTCTCAGATGGCAGACTGCACTACTGTTACCTGAAATGTAATGCATAATTTCAAAACCACCAAGGCAGACATATAAAAATTCAAGTAGGCACTATCTGCGCCATGAAGTGTTTCACTGTAACCTATTTTTAAGATGCTAAGGGATAACAAAGAAGGACCTTTGGGGTCCTATTTGGTAGAAATGTAAGTGGTCCATTTGAAATGCACCAGACACCTCCTAACAGTATATAAGCATGAAAGTATAGCAGTGACGTCTGAGGGAGGGCAAGGCTTTACTCTGCCATGTAAGGACCTGATAGTCACCTTCTCACTAACAGCCTTATGTACTTACAGAGGAATCATTGGAGTTACTCTGCATAGAATGAGATTGGCCTGGAACATGAGATGGCTCATAAAGCACTGTGTGCTCAGAAGGCACTGGAGAAACAGGGCAGAGGAGGGAAAGCTTAGGTGTATGGCAGACGCCTTGCATGCCTCAGTCCATGGGAAACCACTGAAGAGCCACCTGCTGCACAGCTTGCTCCCCTCTCAGGATACAGTGACAGACCCCATTTGGTAGCCTTGATCTTAGTTACCAAAGTATCATAGAAAATGAGCTTTGCCTGAAGAAAAGTGTTGGATTTCCTTCTGCATCCTCTCTTTGCCAGAATATTTCCTGAGGGAATATACATCCTGAGTTGACTTTGCTTGCTGGTAACTTGGGCTAGGCAAATGCTGCAGAAAACAGACAGCTTTCAGGGACAACTGGGAACCTTTCCTAAAGTGAACAAATGAGTCACATGTTAGGATTCTAGGGAATGAAGGTGGCAGGGTAAGGGGTTGGACTGTGCAGTATTGGTCCTCTTAGCCAGAGGGACTGGGGATCACCCCAAGCTGTCCTAACTATCCCAAGCTTTCTATTCCAACTCAAGCAGCTGCAGAAAGTCTCCTGCATTCTGCAGAGACATGCAGAGCGGGTCTCTTCTTCATTCCGGAAATGACCCATTGCTTCTTAGAATTTTAAGGCATTTTTTATTGGCATCAGTAAAGGTTTGAAATGTTCAATTACAGTGCAGCCTCTGTCAGGCAGAGGTGACTCATGTGTATAATCCCAGAACTCTGGGCTGAGGCAGGAGAGTGGCAAATTAGCAACTTATGAGATCCTACTTCAAAATAGGAAAAAATGAGAAGAGTTGCAGATGTAGCTCTATGCTAAGGCTCTCGGTTCAATCCTTAGTATTATAAAATAGTAATAGTAATAATAATAAATAGTAAGTGAGACCTCTAAAAGGAGTGATGTGAATGTCTTGGTACATGCTTATGACTTTATGTGAATGCTCACGGTGGCATTTTGATAAAGGAAATCTGTGAAGCAGGGAGGAGGGATGAAGCTGCTGAAGAGTGGAATGTGCATGGAGGGCACTGCCGCCAGTGTGGGAGGGGTTGTTCTTGTCTCTGTTCAGAAGTGTGTGGTACACAAGTATGCCGTATGTCTGAATGCACTTGTATGTGCACTGATTTCTGTAGCTTGTGTACACGTGGCTGGGTGTCTCATTGTGTGTGTGTGTGTGTGTGTGTGTGTAAGTGTGTGCAGTGTGATCAAAAGACACACGGAGGCCAGGGAGATACACTTAAATGTTTAAAATAATGTATTACAATTAAAAGGACACATTGCCCCTAAACCTCCTTAAAATATGCCTCTTTGCTTGGAACACCCCATTGTTTTGCCACTTTCTGAAGCCCTTTTGAAGTTATCTTCATGGTGTGGGATTTTAAAAAAATACAGCAAACACTCCTGCCCAGTTTGGTCCTGTGGACAGTAGGCTCATAAAAACATTACCTGGTGTCTTCATCCACCTTATTTTCCAGGTCTGGCCCCATGCAACTTCTTCCTCTTTCCCAAAGTCAGAATGATCTGGGAATTAATAAGCATTTCAGATCAATTCAGGACATTAGGGCAGCCACAACAAAGGCCCTGGAGACGCTCAATAAAGAGGATTTACTGAAATGCTTCAAAAGTGACAAAAAAAAAAAAAAAAAGTGACAAAAACAGTGGGATTAGAATGTTGAGACAGGAGCGAATATTTTAAGGGAGATGAATGGCAGTGTGTCTTTTATTGTGCTAAATGTTAAAATTTAAATAGTCTCTGTTATGGTTTGCATCTAGATGTCCCCCCACAAGCCCTCATGCAGTCATGGGGCAAGGTGGTCTTACAGAGTTTGTGATTGATTCAAGATTTAATTCTGGGATTATTAGTATGAGAGCTTACACCCGCCCTGGGGCACATAGTGTGAATGCAATTTAAGGCAGGGAAAGAGATTTGCTCTCCCTTTTTGCTCTTGCTGTTTTGCTGTTTTCTGCCCCCATAAACTACTACCCTGTAGCATGTACCACTCTACCTTGGAAACAGCTGATTATGGACTGAAACCTCTACAAGATGAGCTAAATAAACATTTCCTTCTTTAATCTTGGGTGTCAGGTATTTTGTCCCAGCAGTGATAGAAAAGTAAGCAAGACAATCACCATGTTTATTGACCACACCACATTGGCTCATGTGGGGGGCACTTCCTAGGTGTGGATACTTGTCTGTCGGTCTTTCCATACATGTGTATCGAAGATAAGAAGGTCAGACTAGCTGAATAGTAATAGTTGATGCTGAATGATGGGCACATAAGGTTTCTTATTCCTTTTCTCTTATCTTTGTGTGTCTCAACAATGTCATTATTATACTTAAGATTGATTGGCAAAATACAGTAATTCCTAAGTTTCTTGTTACTGGTAAGGAAATTTTGTTTTGCCAGTTTCCTCGTTCCTCTGGTTGCATTACCATAATTATCTTTAAACTTATCTGTCTGTGGTATTTTGTGTTGATTCTGCAGAGTAATGCTTTTAAAGTTCATCTCTCCCTTCCATTATTATCTAACATCATCTCCTGAGCGCCAACAAACTGTTGAGCCAGCAATTTGAGTAGGCAAAGAATGAACTGAATAAACACTGGTAGTTGTAGGGCTGCAAATCTGAAATGCGTTCATGGCAGGTGATGTTTCCTGAGCTTATGCTGCCTTCTTAGAGAATCCTCCTGTGAATGACTGGTGCTTTTTGAGTGGCTTGGGCAGGAGTAGGGTGGGTGATCATCTGGTGACATACCTGCACTGGCCTGTCTAGTCCAGTGAGCTCTGAGGCTGTACTGTGAGAGCAGCTGTATGAAAGGACATAGCTAGAAAGTGGCAAAGCTAGTTGGAGAAAGATCGAGAAAGGTTTGAACTCAAGGTTTTCTTCAATAGACAAAATGAGTCATTAATAAGACTTTGTGATAGAAGGTTGGTCGTCCACCATCTTTGGCGACAGTATTTCTGAGGAGGTGGTGGGTGCATACGCTTGGCCACGCCTCCCTCAGGGTATGTGGGAGCGTATACTGTGTTAGCATATATCTGAGAAAGAAACTGCCTACCACGAATATGCCTAATTTTAAGGAGAAAGCACATGGAAAAAGATGTCATGGTCAGAGTGCAGGTTTTTGGAAGACTCTTTTTTATTGACTTTCTTTCTGAGATTGGGCTAAAGATCCAGCCAAAGGGAGGCAGCAGCAACCTTGCCAGGGACAGCAGAGGGACCCTGTGGATTGTGGGAAGTTACTGGTGCTGGCCTGGAATGTAGCCTGGACTCCTGACCTCAGGGCCATGTGCAGAATCTGTGAGGCCCATGAAGAACTCCCTTCCCTTTGGATTTGGTGCTGGTGTGCCTGGGCCAGATGGCTCATTTCTGTCTTTGCTGAGGGCTATGTGTGCAAGACTCCAGGTGGGACTGACTGTGGTGCAGGGACATAGCATTTGCCATGGTTAAGTGTTGGCCCTGACAGGGCTGCCCAGGGCTGGGCACAGAGGTCTTCCTGCCAGTGGTCCTTGGGAAGGGTTGTTTAGAGGCAGAAGAGGAGCAGGTTTGAGGACCACACATTGTGCTGTGTGTGTAGCAGCTTTCTGCTCCCTCTCCAATCCACATAGTTTCTAAACTCTTATATTTTAGGAGTCTTTTATGTGCCTGCATTTATTACATGGTGCGTTAAATTATGTACCCATGTTAAGACAAGGTCTAAGAATGGTAGGATTTGTGGCCAGGAGGCCCAAGGTCAGAGTGGTTCGCCCTCTGGCCCATGTCTCTGTGGATGCTGTGCACAGCTGTCCTTCTGACCCCAACATTTCCCTGCTGGGAGACAGCTGCAATGCATACCTGCTGACTCAGTGTGCTGTTCACATATCAGGAGAGAGCCCCCTCCTGCTGCTGATGCCCATGGAGTCCCACCTGTCTCCTTCACCTCTGTGGAGTGGCAGCTTTGCTAATGTGGTAATCAGTTTCACATTACCATACCTGATTGCAGCTTCACCTAAGAATGTATTGCCAGAGGGAAAAGCGCTAAAGGAATGTTTCCAGAAGTGGGGCTGTCCCCCTCTGCTGAGGCTCAGGCCTCCTTACTGGGTGCTATTGCTTTGTAAAATTCTATGTAAAGGGATGTATGCCCATCATGATTCTGCACTAAGAAAAGCGTGAACTGAGCACCTGAAAGACTATAGCTTTAAAGTTTTGATGCTACTTAATTTGTGCAGGTGCAAGCACTATCTGTTGTTCTGTGGTTTTCTGGTGGCAAGACATGGCCCAATGAAGTCCTCAAGCCAGGCCCAGGTTGTGCTGGGGCTCATGAGAGCTATCTGAGGAGTGCACAGTGACTCATGCACTACTGATGTTTTTAGTTCTAGGCATGTCACCTACTTTGGAGCTTTCATTTTATTTTGTGAACTAAACATTTACAAGGAGCAGAGCTGATATGACCAAGGAAATAAAGGAACTGAGTTGAACTGACTGGGCTGCTTTCTGTGAGTAGCTGAAGAAAGTAGGTAATCAGACTGGCTCAGGTGGCAGTCCCTGTGGCTGCTGCAGCCTGCAAAGCCTCACCTGTGGTTTCTGCTCAGGCGTGACAGTCCAGATTCAGGGCTGTGGGGCAGCTTCCTGAACTTTCTGTCGGCGGAGTCAAAGTTCTGGAGCCCGAGGCTTCTTGTTAGTTCGTGGAGATGTCATGTGCACAGGGTAGAAGTGGCCTGGGCCTTCGTTCCTTTGATTGAAAATGGCTGTGTCTCCTGCACCTGCTCCATCTGTTGTATTAGCTACATTTCTGGTCTTGGGTATTTAAAACTTAGGTACTTGCTCTTAATACGTTCAATCCAAGATATTTTTAGATCCTTTCTGTTTTCCACAGTAATTATGTCTTACAATCATAGTTATATAGTTAAAGAAGGATCAGAGGCAAATACGATAAACTTTTCTTTTTTTTCTAGCACTTTGGGTGGAACCCAACTATACAACTGAGCTACCCCAGCATGCCTTTTTATTTTGAGTCAGAGCCTCACACAGTTGCCCAGATGTGCCTTAACCTTGGCATCTTCCTGCCTCAGCCTCCGCAGTACAGGGCTTACTGGTGTGCACCGCGTCTGGCAATGGCAAACTTGGAATGAGACCAGCCAAGTGCCACCCAGGTGCTGCACACTTTGCATACACTCCTCTCATTTGTCTCATGAAAGGCACTTGTGGGGAATGGCTACCCCTTCTCCATTTTGCAGATGAGTAAACTGAGTTCTATAAGTACTGTGTACTAACCAGTTGTGCCACTGGAGCATCTCAGGAAACTGAGTTCAAGCAAGAAAACTAACTTGCTCAGGGGGGCACAGATTGCAAGTGGCAAGGCTGGTGTTTGAACCTACTTGTGCTGACTCCCAAGCCCTTGCCCGGAATCTCTGGTGTTCAGAAAAGCAAAAAGGGCCTTAGGAAGGGTAGTTCACATCCATAGTGTCTCAGGTTAGGCAGGGGTTTTGCCAAGAGTGGAACCATATCTCAGCTTTTTAACTCTTCTGTCTTTGTCGCCCTCTCTCAGGATGCGGGGAGTCAGCAGATAGGTTTCTTGCTTGGCAGCTGTGGAGTTACTGTAGCCTTGACTAGTGATGCTTGCCACAAAGGGCTGCCGAAAAGCCCAACAGGAGAGATCCCGCAGTTCAAAGGTACGCCAAGTGCCGGGAGCCTCTGCACTTCCCAAGGCCTTACTGTCCTTTCCAAGACTGCTCCTCACCTGGGGAAAGCAGGGTCCGCTCCAGCAAAGAGATTTGCTCATGTGTCAGTTTCTCTGATGACCCGTGTGACCTTAGCTCTGGGTGACAAGATAGGACTGCTGGTGGCTGGGGGGTGCTTTTGTTGATGTTGTGGATTTGAGGACAGAGAAACACCAGGGATTTCTTCCAGCATGAGGTATTGTTTGAAAGTGCGTCAGGTGGGGGGAAAGAGAAAATCTGCAGTCTTTTCTGGGTACTCCTTGAAGGAATTTATCATTTATTTCCAAGGTTGGCCAAAGCTTCTGTGGTTTGTTACGGAATCTAAACACCTGTCTAAACCTCCTCGAGATTGGTTCCCTCACATCAAAGATGCAAATAATGACACTGCTTACATTGAGGTGAGTCTGTCTCCCTCCTCTGGGCCGAGGCTTGTTCTTTGGAAGTGACATGTATTTCTCATCGTGACATCAGTGCCAGAAGAACGAGACGCAGAGCGTCCCCAAGAGCGCGAGCCTCCAGGCTCTCCAGGCTCGCTGGTGTGTGTCTGCCTTTGCAGCTCTCTGGGGGGGGGGACTGCAAGTTCAAGCCCCACTTGGACGTACAGCAGTACTTTATCTAAAAATGTATAAAGGGCTGGACATGGAACTCCGTGCAGAGCCCTTGGGTTCAATCCCTACTCTTAAAAAAAAAAAAAAAAAAAGCGAGTTAAACACTTTAAGAGGCTGATGGATGGGGACCCAGACTCTGTCAGAATGACTTTGCCGTGCACTCTTTCTCATTTCAGTACAAGACGTGTAAGGATGGAAGCGTGCTGGGTGTGACTGTGACAAGGATCGCACTGCTGACACACTGCCAAGCGCTCACACAGGCATGCAGTTACACAGAAGGTGTGGACCAGACCAACCCTCCCAGGCACCTTGGTTCTCTGAGATAGCCTGTTGGCTGGGGTGCATGCTGGAGACCTCTCTTGGCTTTTCCCCTAATAACTGCACAAGTTATTGAATGTGTTGTTCAGCTAAATGTTACTTAATTGCTGGCTATTAGCCATTATCCAACAGTTCTACCAGACTGGCTGGCCGCACCCCAGACATAGTCCTGTGACTGAAGGTCAAAACCACAGGCTGACAGAGCTGGTTCCCTGCAGGGTGCTGGCTCCTTTACTTTGCACTCACCTCCCCTTTTCTTGTGTGTGTGCCTGGGAGAGAGGTTGCTCTCCCCTTCTACAAGGGTGCTGACTACAGCTCCACTTTTAGAATCTTATTTGATATTAGTTACCCTTTTAAAAGCCTTGTTTAAAAATAATAATAAAAAAAAATTTTTTTAAGCTCTGTTGCCACACACATTCACATGAAGAGTACATAATTTGGTCTGTGACAGTTCATGGTCCATAACAATGAACATTCCTTCCTGGCTGTACATAAGGATATCTTTGAAAGCTTAAAAGATGCCCGTACTTTGCCCTACTCCTGCCCAATGCATGAGAATCTCTGGGGGGTAGGTTTTCTAGCCTCTATTATATGGACTTCCACGGTGAAGAAAACTGGTGAACTGATGGTTTTCTCCCCAAGGGGCAGGCGGAAAGGTAGAGTGAGCATAAGTAACCATGGTAACAACTGTCATTTGGACCCAGAGAAGGACGGGTTGAAACAAATGCCTTGTACCCTCTGGCTGTCACCCATGTTCCTCTGCAGGGGCATAGCCACAATAGGACCTGCTCTCTAAAGACATGCTCCAAATAATCCTGGAATGTTCAATCACTGGCTCTGCAAATCTCACTTGCTTTATTGTCCCAGCCCCACCTTTGAAGCCCCACTGTTCTCAGTCAAACATTTGTAGACTCAGGTATTGTTGAAAATGAACTTCCTCCTTCCCATGCAAGGCAAGCTGATAGCACCATGTCCTTCTCTTTCTGGGAGAGACGCAGTGGGGAAATGAATTCTGTTTGGAAGAGAAAGCACCAGGGAAAGGAGGGAAAAAATAAATAAGGAAAAGATCTGTTTCTAAGACATAGTATGAGTAGCTGTTTCTGTTCACTTCTGTGTTAGAATATTCACTTATTCACTAGGTCTGGATAGCACTTTCCAGTGGTCTGACTGATGGCTACAGAATTTCTATGACAATGAATTGAAATAGTATTCTTCCAAGACCCAGGATTACTCCCTAAGGTGGTATTAGGTCTTCATTGCAATGTCATGCCTCTTTTTCTTATGCAGCTGAAACCATTGTGAATGTGCTAGACTTCAAGAAGGATGTTGGACTATGGCACGGCATCCTAACGGTAAGTAAGCCCTACGTGCCTTGCTGTGTGTCTTTGTGTTTGGCAGATGTGTTCAGTGTCAGCACTCAAATTTTGGTTTTTGTGTGGAGTGGCATAGGTAGGTTCCTTTGTCCCATAATAGGAAGAAGAAAATCTATTTTAGGGGCCCTAAGTTGCTGGCTGAGGTAGCTTTCAACAGCCCAGTGGAGCAGTTGTTTTTACTAGCTACTTGCTTGAGTCCTGGAGCCACCTATCAAGGTGAGAGTTATAGAACCAGCCTTCTAAAGAGTCATGTGGAGTTCACTTTCTTCCTCCACTTTTGGCTTTTGAGATTTTAGAGTTATGTTATTAATGTCTTATTCATGCTTGGGTCACTTTTCTCTACATCTAATCTTGCTAGGAAGTGCTTATTTTCTGAGTCAGAACTTATGAATATTTAAGGGATCTACTGTTCTATTATTCTACAAGGGGGAAGGATTTCCACAAACTTGCCTTTGAAGATAAAAGTCCTGCACAGGTTGTAGAGAGATTTGTCTAATCATTGATAATGTCAGTTGGTGAGAGATGACAGTGCCAGTTAGGGGCACTTCTACTGGAGAATTTCACCTTATTTAAGGCATTTTGGATCTACTTAAAATTTTCATCTGTTTCAAATCATGATAGTTTTCAGTCTTTTTTCCTTTACTCTTAAGATCTCATGTAATATTTAAGCTGCCTTACTTACCTCTTGTGTGTATTTGTTGGTTTCAGAGTGTCATGAACATGATGCATGTGATCAGTATCCCTTACTCGCTGATGAAGGTGAACCCCCTTTCCTGGATCCAGAAAGTCTGCCAGTACAAAGGTTGGTCTCCCCTGCGGCTCTTTGGACTTTTTGTGACAAATGAAGATGGTTTGCCATTCCCCATGAATCACGATGACCTCTCCTTTTCAGTATTGGACAGTTTGATGGTGACATGTGTTAACTTGTGCTTTTCTTTGTAGCAAAGGTGGCTTGTGTGAAATCAAGGGATATGCACTGGGCACTGGTAGCCCACAGAGATCAAAGAGACGTCAATCTCTCCTCTCTCCGAATGTTAATAGTGGCTGATGGAGCAAATCCCTGTAAGTGACAAGTCCAATATAACTTGAAAGAAAAGCAAGCATAGATCTCCTTGTTTTCCAGGTGTCATTCTTTGTGCTTTGATGTCTTTTTGTAATCTTAATTGCAGTAAAAAGTTGCCTTGAAATAATCAACTGGTATTATTCACTGTAGCCTAAAGGTAAAGTAGCAGAATGATTAAAAACTAGGTGTTTGTAGACTGTAGTCCTGAGGTAAAGAAAGACAGCATAGTTCTATGCAGCAGCTTTCTTTTCTAGTATTATTTTACCAGCTATAAGATAGTACCCAAATCATAAATTTTTATGAGGATGAAATGAAGTGACTCCTACCTTATTATTTTAAGGTCTAATGATAGTTTTATTGGTTAGTAAATTAATCTGTCATTTTTGTTGGAACATCATTATCAGATCCTGTAACAAAATATACCGAGGTGAAACAGTCTAGCACTTTTACAGAATATTGTTAACACACCTTAAGAAATACTGTAATCAGGTGCAGGGGCCAGGGCTTCGATCCCTGGGTCTGCCATGCTGGCCCCGCCCCTGGGGCACACAGAGACAGCAATTGAAATTGGGCGTGGTGGTGCCCGCCTATAATCCCTGCTCTTGGGAGGCTATAAACAGGTGGATCACTATGAGTCAGATCTAGTAGTGAGACCCTGAACACCCTGTAGATCCTTCCCTAAAAAAAAGAAATACTATAATCAACTGAAACAAGAAGCTACCTAGCCTGTTTTTATGAAGGGTATGTAAAGCCAGAAGCTAAGCAAATGAATGAAATAAATGGAAAGGATGTTTCTGGCCACGTTTGTCAACTGTGCAGCATAGGTATTTATAACCTATGGCAGCATGCCCTTCCACCCTTCCTTAATGCCTGATACACCAAAATGAGCTTAGAAACATAATTTAATTGTATAAATGACTCTTTCATTTGTAAAATAATTGTATCAGTGTGAGATAATTCAATAGATAATTGTTTTTTAATCTATTTCTCTACAGAATAATATATCTTGTATAAACCAAAGTAAATCTGTATTGAAAAGTAGGGTTTTAAAATCTTCCTAATAGTTATAGTACCTTATTCTCCTTCGAGTTAATACAGAGTGAAATTTTATTTATTTAGTTTAGATTTCTGCATTTCTTGAAACTTAAATCATAAAAATGGTTCCAGAAAATTCAGTAACATAATTTTATCAGTCACACAATATATCTATAGTATGTCTTAAGTGTAGAAGCTCCTTTTTTAAAATTTTTGAGTCCTGTAAATTTGAGAATATGATCTTTCATATTAAAATAAATAATAAATTGTATTAACTAAATTATCTCTCCATGCTGCCTAACTCCATTTGTGCTCAAATCCTGACTTCAAAACTGTTTTATATCATAGGGTACTGTGCTGCCACTGTCTGATCATTGTCCCTCTCTCCCTCTAGGGTCTATTTCTTCTTGTGATGCGTTTCTCAATGTCTTCCAGAGTAAAGGCCTTCGGCAGGAGGTCATCTGTCCATGTGCCAGCTCTCCAGAGGCCCTCACTGTGGCCATCCGCAGGTACTGGGTCATGTCAGTGAAAGTAGATGGCCTAGAGTTAAGCTATCCATGTTCCGCAGTTATGCAACATGGAAATCTTAAGAGTTGATGCTTAGTGTAAGAATCATGACCTAATCTTCTCAAGATGAGTTTATTTTTTCTCTTAGATGTGTAGATTTCTTTGAATCATCTAAATAATTTAGTTAGGAAGACATACTTTATACAGGTTCATTATAACTCCTGGGCTGGTAAAACTCTCATCTGAGAGTGTGAATAACAGTAATATTTTATCCTTACAAATTAGTGATGTTCATTTCCTTCTCAGCTTCAGGCTTACTTTGGGGATGAAACAGAGTAATATTGGATGAGGTGAGATTTTTGTAACACAGCATATACCCTTTGACATGAATTTTTTGTCCTCTTCAGTATTTGCCCTCTGGATGCTGAACCTTAAAAAACACTGCTTTCTGAGCTTTTGAGCAGTATGATAGAATTTAAAGGGGCTTTTAGGTCCAAGGGGCTTTCAGGTCTGTGATGACCAGGTACCTCCCAGCCTGAGTGTCCGGCCTCCAGAGGTGCTTTTGCCAAATTCGATGTTCTTCACAGTATTCTTGGTCATAGTTTACTCTAGCCTGCCCAAGAACAGCATGGTGGGAAATGGTTATGGGATGCAGAGGTGTTATTTTGCCAGAATGAGGTGAAAAGTTTTGAACATAGTACATAGTCTCAAAGGTAGATACAAGGAAGGCTGTCTTGATCACTGTCATTGGATGCAGTTGGCTGTCAATCCTTTCACCTCTCAGATATCAATAGTAATGTAAGAAAAACTTGGCTACATCATAAAAATATTTGACATTTGTAACAGGTCTTATTTTTCTGTATTTTGGGGTTCCATCTCTTACTAGGTTTATTTCATGGTGTACTTCATTATAAGAATGGATGACATAGAAAACTTCAAATACAAAGTACACAAGTTCTGCTCTATATAAAAAAAGATATGAGCTACTCAAAAATATGCACTAGAAGTTTCCTTAGACAGAAAAATGGATGCTTTTAGATAGTAGTGCTAATATATTATTGGCCAGAAATGGCTAAGAAATTGAAAATCTGTATAGTAGCAGAAGCCACTTTCAATTTTAGTTGAACCACAAATTAAGTCTGTCAGGAGTTGCATGGTGCCAGGTGTGGTGGATAAGGTAGATGAGGATGGACCACATTTCCACAAGCCTGCTTTTTTGTTGTATGGTATTCAGCAGCAGTGTTTACCACATTTTTTATCACTCCTTATAAAGACATGAAAGAGGATTGTTTCACAAAGCGCCGAGTGTGGTGGGAGCAGTATATTGAAGGTAGGGGATGTTTTGAGGGAGATTATGGCAGTGTACATTTTACTATAATAATTTTTTTTTTAAAGTTAAACATTGGGGCTGGTGAGATGGCTCAGTGGTCTAAAGCACCTACTTAGAACAAGCTTAGCAAAGCCCAGGGACCGCGGTTCAATCCCCTAGCACCACATGTCAGCCAGCCCCGCCCCCTGGTGGGCTGAGCTGGCCACACACACACACACAAATTTTAAAAAAAATTAAAAAAAAAATAAAGTTAAACATTTACCATGTATTTTGAGTACCCTCTTAAATGTTACCATCTTGGGTGAATTTTTGCCAAATGTCTTCCTTGGCATATTGTCCTCTAGCTTGTGTCAATCCCGCTTTTTTTTTTTTTTTTTTTTTTTTTTTTCTTTTCCTGAAGTTGAACTGCTATTAAAGATGATGAGTTGAGATGGAAAAGGTTTGTGACTGGAACAATCACGATATTACCTTCTAATCCTGAGCAAGTTTTACTGCAAAGATTTAATAAGCCTCTGGAATTCTATTCCTTCTCTTCATTTGTAACAAACTTCATCCCTTGCTGTTGAAGGAGTGAACATAGTAGATGTCTTCTTGGACACTGTCACTCACACTCAAACCTCTGGTTTCTGCCAGGTCCCCCTGCATGCCACAACGGCATTGTCCTGTGCTGACTGTGTTTCCTGGGTGCTCGGGGACCACTGCAGCAAGAAGCTGCAGCCACTGGAAAGGAGCTATCATAAGTTTTGTAGATGGAAATTATCCGTGGGAAGGAGAGAATAATGTAAAAGTGATACAAACATACAGCACTAAATGGACGCTGTCACGCGTTTATCTTCTTGGCAGGCTACCGTTTATCATCAGCTCCCACAGGCACATCTCCTGTAGTCTCTGGAAATAGAGATTAGACAGAATCCATGTTTCCAGCCAGTTGACATTGAGTGGTTAGGAACGAGTAGGTGTGGGTTGTACAGCAGAGATTTTTTTACTTGCTTGTCTTAACTGATAGGAAATACCTTAAGTTTGTTTGTTTTAAATCGATGCCTGCCTATAAACTGAGACTGAACTGCTTCCCATGAAAATCCAAGTGATGCAGTGTAGACCTGATTTCACTTTACATTTTTCCTTAGGATTATGTAGGATTTTGTTCAGTGGCTACAGATTAAGCAAAATGACCTCTCATAGCTGATCCTTCTGTGGCACATCCTCCTTTCTCAGTGCCAAGGGTCACTCTCTGCTTAGTGACCATAGTCACCTGGACTACAGATGCTTTGCTGTGCAGAGTGCTGGAAGGCCTGCATTCCTCACCAGTCCCACCTACTTTCTGTTTGTGAGGGCCCAAGGGAAGGTTGCCTTGGTCCTGATTGTCTACAGTCCCTTTATGTTTTTCCTGAGTGGTTTTGGAAGCCATTAGGTGATTAGGATTCAGCATTGGCCCTGATGTCGGAAATGAGTCCCCATACCAAGGCTCTTGGCAATATTTTCATAGTCATCCTCAAAACAGAGAAATAAAAGATGGCATGTTTTATTGGTAAATCTTGTTTTTATGAGTATTTAAGAAATAGAGACTATAGCCTGATAGAACTCTACAGAGCTTAAATCTTGTACCTTTATTCATGCCCACATAATATTCTTCCATATAGATATGCATCATCTCCACTTCTACCCTAATGTGGGGACCACAGAGTATTGCCTCTGCCACAGGTACTTGTACCGTTGATAATGTGCCTTAAGACCTCTTGTTCCTTTCTTTCCTCTTTTGCTGCTTTCCAGCTTGTGTCCTTTTCAGTTTTCCACACCCATGTTCTATAATCTTTGTTGTATACTCTGTTTTCAGACTCTGATAAAATGGTCTTCCCTTGGTGATTCATCAAAACCATTTTTTTTTTAATCAAGACATTCATTTTCTTGAAGGAATCAATTGCCTACTCTGCCTTATTCTATTCCCTTCTGCCATGATTCTACTTATTTTAATCAAGAGGGAAAGTGTATTAATCATCCATATAATTGGAGAATATATCAGTGAACTACAGACATAAATAAAATTACCTTCCCTGGCCTGTCAGAGGGACTGCTGCTTCTGTAGCTCATGTGGTCCGTAAATGGGAGTTCATGTACGTGTGTCTGTACCTACTAACTGGTGTTACATGTCCACAGCTTCTAACTTAGTACTTGAGTTTCATAGCCACATTGGTGAAATTTAGTGATAGTATGCTATTGGGTACAATAAGAAAAGGCTATAAAAATAAGACCAATTTCATTGTAAGCCTTGCTTACTACTTCCCTGTTGATTTCATAGTTTTAGCCAGGTATTAGTAATTTTTAAACACTATTCATACTCAGTTTAAGCACCCCTAATCTGAAAATACAAAATTCAAACTACTTTATGTTTTGAAAGTTTTTTAAATGCAAATATGATACCACAAATAGAAGATTTCCTATCTGACCTAATATGTCAGTTTGCAAATGGACATTCATCTGTATATGGTTTTTTTGTTTTGACCTAATATGTCAGAACTCGAGAACAAAACATTTTATTCAGCATCCCCAAAGGGAGAAGTACAGCAGCCATTTTAGCTTTGGTGTGCGCACCTGTCGCCCCCCACTCAAGCACACTTATAGAGGGCAGTCAGCTGTGCAAGCCAGGTTTTTTTTTTTTTTTAGAATTCATAAAGAACTTTATTTATTTTTTGTATGTTGTTTCTTTTTTTTCCCATAATTTTATTGATAAATAGCAATGACACAGTTTCAAATCAAATTGGTAGGACAGTTTCAATAATTAACACATTGCATACATTCTTCCTAGTGGTTAATTGCTGTGCAAGATGCGGACTTGAAATCCTATTTACAAACACCATTAGAACAAGTCACTCTATTCATTAAGAGAATGTAACTATATATCTGTCCTAACCACTTTGAATACACAGATACAAAATGGACATTCATCTGTATACAGTTTTTTTGTTAAGTTCCGTTATTTGAATATTATAGGTATGTAAACTCAGCAAAATCTTCTAAAAGAGTCCAGTAGTCCATAATAGTATTGAGTCTTCTGCTTATAGCTCAACATAACAACATGGCTTTACTTCTTATATTTTGTTTTTATACTTTTCTGCTGGATGGTTAAGACCAAGGTAAAGCAGGACCTATACAACAAGAGTTGTAGCTTTTGGGTCTGATAAGGTCAGTGAAATACCCTCAGGATTTATCCTGAGATCCTGTACCTCAGATTGTAGAACCTTTGTCAGTGTCAGCCATGTGGATGAGTCACGGCCATTGCTTG